CATGCACCATTAGCTTGTCCTGGAGTTCTATTTCTGGAGCCCCTGACTTTTTGCTCCGTGAGAGGCATTTTTCTCAGAATTCCTCTTGCCCCCTGGAAGGGAGGGTCAGGGCAAGGACTTTGCTTCTGCACGTCATTGCGTAGTATGGTGCCATGTCGACAAATGACTGATGGCTCTGGTATTTTTCTAGCATCTCAAGTGCTAACTCTCTTCTGATGCCTCCTGTTGTCTGTATTGCCACGTGTGGTCTGTGTGCCATACGTGATCTCAGAGTTAGGTTTCATTGATGTAATGTGTCCCTTAGTGAGGACATCTTTTAATCAATCATCTCTTTTAATTAATCAGTAATCTTTTAATTAGTAATAATGAAGACAGACCTCTATGGAGTTCTTGGCTTCATAGGGCACAGAGATAATCGCGTCTGCATATATGACATGGCCAACTGGGCCCATCATGGAGGTCCTGGGGGCAGCTGGTCCATCAAAAAAAAGACTTTATTAGAGTGAGTCCAGACTTTGTCAAGCTTTTGAGATGACTTGAAAACATATGAAATATTAAAGAAACTAGAAATACTTGACCTGGAAAGGAAAGGAGCCAAGGGAGAACAGTGAATGTTATCTTCAAATAAGTTTGTTACATGGAAATTGATTTGGGGCTGCCCGAGAGAACATCACGGGAGCCAATGGGTAAGCAAGAAAACGGTACATTTAGCTCAGCCTGAGGACAGACTTTCTAATTAACGCCAAGTATGGCGCAAGCAGCCTGGGGACACAGTGAGTTCACTGTCATTGGAGGCACCGAAGCATGAGATGGGTGACAATGTGACAGGGATTTTGTGGGGGAATTAGAATATGGGTTACAGAGAACGTGTTGGATTAGATGATGCCTGACATCTCTTCTGTATATGTGACTTTTTTTTAATATGAAATGTATTGCCAAATTGGTTTCCATACAAAACCCAGTGCTCACCCCAAAAGGTGCCTTCCTCAATGCCCATCAC